CCTTGGTGGATGAAATAAAGGGTTTGGTTCAAAATTCCAATCACCTGACGAAGGCTGAAGCATATAATGGCGAAAACATTGTGAATGAAGATGAAGATAACAGTCTGAATAATGTAAATAATGCAAGTAATATTTTAATATGTATATGATAAGAGGTCCATACTTCTGAGCCATAGAGGAGTGTTGTGATTACAATAGTACAGAAAATGCTGATTTTTTTTTTTTTTCAAGGAAATGCTTTTGATATCCCAGAGATAGTGATGGCGTTTAACCAAAACATCAACTGCTTTAGAGATGTGGTTAACAATCTTGTCATCAAGCAAAGAAGAGGTGTTCACTTTGTGACCAAGACATATAAAAGATTTGACATATATGAATTCTTTTCTGTCAACTGGGATGGTTACAGTGGGAAATCTGCAAGCTAGCCTAAAGCTGTCAAATACCTTTGACTTTGGCTGATGAACCAACTTTGTATTCTTAATGCTGATTGACAATCCAAAAGCTTTACTGACAAGTGAAAACTGGTTAATGAGTTTCTGTGCTTTTTGAATTGAAGTTGCAACAATTTCTGTTTTATCAACAAAGAGTACCTCACAAATAATACCACCTCTCGTAAGCATTTTGGCTTTAAAACGTTCATGGCTAAAGAGACCATCTGAGGTACAGAATTCAAATCTTGCACCAGTATCAACATCACTATATGAATTTGTGGAGAATTACCTCAGAGGTTCAAGAGGACTAGAGTAACATAGCCTAAATATGTGTATAGGATGAGTGAATTGCAAACAAGGCAAACCATCTGAGGTTCGACGTTGGAATGATGAGGCGCATGTATCATTAAGTCAGATTGAGGGTGGTAGTGGGCTCAACATGCAAATTCTCTGGCTTGGCAAGAACATATAAAAAAAGGTGAGTGTTTGTTGAGATGGCAGAAGGCTTTTGCATTCAATGCAGGTCACATTAGTGTGTACTGAACCAGAATCCGTTGTGAGTGTTTCCAGTGTCTGTGCTACAGAATACCAGGTTTCCCGCTACAGAATGCTAAAAGATTACAGAAAAGTAAAATGCAAAAAGAGCCATCATACAACACTATATACAAAAACACATACATCCATGGCAGAATATGATAAATGAATTTCTGTATATCAGAACAATGTTAGGTAATTAGATGACAAAGTAGAAAAAATTCTATATAACACATTTCATCATCTAAAAGCACTTGGTCAGACTAAAGGAATGTTCTCATTGATGGAATGATATATATATATACAGGAGCAGAGGGAGATATAGACATATGTAACAAGGCAGTGACCCTAATGAAGTCCTGATAATGCATGAAACATCATTTAGTGACTTAAGGTATTAGGAGAACCAAAAATTTGAGGTGAAAAATGATAGAAAATAATAAAATAATAATAAATGATAATAAAATAAATAATAACTAACAACAAAAAAATAATAATAGAAAATAATAATATTAATCATATTGGAATATAATGAAAGAAGGTTTATAGTGGGTTATTTGTAGGATTCAATTTGGACCATATTAGGATTAGCTCAGTATAATGGATGACTAAATAAAACACGATAAACTACATCTTAAGAACAATCAAGCCAAGACTATAACAATAATAATTCATATAAACACTAATAAGTAGTTTCATATTGTACAAAAATAATGTTCATGGATGGCACAATGTTGGTAGTTAAGTAAGATTAAATGTTTTTTCAATGAATCCAAGAGTTTGTAAAAGTACTTAAGTGTTTTTGAAAGCTGCTAGTTTTCTTTGGTAATATGTCTTGTGAATAAGAAAAAGGAGGTAGAATGTATGTGGGAAGTAAAGTGGGGTGAAAATGATGAGAGAGTTGTGAGGAGTGGAAGTGATTGTTGAAGCTGAGATGCCTTTGATGTATCTGCTCACAGTTGACAGAGTCCATCTTCTCTGTATGTCTCCTGCTGGAATCTCTTCCTTTTTTTCTTTTAGACAGGGGTCTATTTATATTGTTTGCAAAGTTGAAAGAGGCTCTGATTAAGTTATTGATTATTTCAGGCGTGCTTATTTCTTATTCGTCAACATATATTTATTTAGGATTGTATTTAATCAACTTCAAGTGGAAGTTATGTGTGGAGCCTATTGCTCAAAGCCCAAAATATGTCATTATGTTTTAAGCTATGAAAGAGGTAACTTCCTGTTTCTGCTCTTAGTGTCACTATATGTTCATTTAAAAAATATTAACCTTTAAAATGCTTATGAAAATGGTATTGGTAGGAACTGAACCCACAATAAACCTAGAATGATATACCCCCTCTCCATATCCCAAAAAGTTGTGGTGACAAGGTTAATGTGTTCACCAAATGAATATGGGAAATGTTTTTTTTAATGTACTATACAGCCAGAATCACATTGATCTCTATCTATAAAAGGCAGGATGTGCGTGTGTGTGTGTGTGTGTGTAATGAATGCACGGCCGCAATTTTTGACGGATTTGCACCAAAATTTACATGCACATGCTCCAAGTTAGCGGGAAGGCCAAGACTGATTTTGCATTTTCCAACTCCCGTCGATAGTGGAAATAATCAATTTTTTCATGCTTCTACAGCAGTTTTCATGTAGTTTGTGGCCATTTTCTACTGGCCAGAGTGAGAGCCTATAGCTGGCTGCCACGAATAAGCAGGAAGATTCTATTGGCCAGTATGAGAGCCAACAGCTGACTGACACGAATATTAACTAGCATGCAAAAAAAATCGATAGCTGCATTCGTCACAAGTGGGAAAAATTTAAATCTGCATGGCACTTTACTCCAATTGGCTCATTAAACTTGCTTAAACTCAACGTTGATTCTGATTCCACAGAACTGGGTTGGGTGTGAAAAAGTATTTGTTGTTAACATTCTTTTTCATTCGGTTTTTCCAGTTACAAGTCCTTTTTTTTTACATTTTTGTGTTCATTTTGTTTAGTTCTTTTTTCGTAACAGATTTAATGTTTAGTATAGAGCTTAGAAAAAATTCACAGTGTGAGATAGGCAAGAAGTGAGGCATGTAAACATCATCACAGCAAAGGGCACTCCTTTAAAAAAAAAGCAAGGAAGGGCAAAAATATTTTAAGTCAAGTGATAGCGATTGCTGTATGAGTCGTATGATTTTTGAATCAAGCATGGACAATGCCAGGCCATGCTGCTAGTTATCTACTAAAATGTCTGAACCAGAATCTGGCTTAATGTACTTTTTAAACACGCCATGTCTAATCCTAAATATTTTAGAAACATCGCCACATGCATCAGTAATTGGAAGTTCTTTGTTTAGAGATAATATCCATCAAAGTCATTCTTCGAGATGAATATCTGTATCAGTAAAAGTATACAGGTGCTTAGTTAGTTTCATGCAGGAGTTTGTATATTTTTTAATTGCCAGATAATTGTCTGTATATCGTTCTATTCTTCTCTCCACAAGCTGAAAGAAATCCCAACATATCGACACAAACAACTAACTTAGCAGTTAACCCTTTCACAATACCTCAAGATCTTAGTAGAAAATCAACGAAGAGTGATTGTAATCTTCTGACAGTCTATGGTATTAAATTGTTAATGACTTTCACATCAGCGTTATTTTTGTTATCTACTTACAATTGTTTTCTCTTTTGATTAAGTCTTTGCTGAAGAATGCATAAAAAACCACATTCCAGCAAGTACACAATGAGGAGGCACTAGATAACTATATCCAGAGACTAGCACCAGTTGAAGATATTGAACAGATGAAAAACACCCACAAAATATTACCCCCACTCAGTATTTGGTGTAACTGATTATGGGTCTATATTTGGTACCATGGCAAAGTATTATGTGTATACATAAATGTTAAGTATAATTATGTACCAAGGGGAAATGCAGAAAATATAGGCACATTAAATTTTTAACACAGCTCAACCAAATTGACTTAGTACCTCAATGCTTTTGTTTTTATTGCTATTGTTTTCAAATATCCAACATTGTGATAACAAAAGATTAAAACAAAAATGCTGCTTTAATAAAGAGAAAATAATTTATTAATGTGAAACTGTATAGAAAGTGCACTGATTTCTGAATCTTCCATGATAAATTTGCATTCCCTGTAATGACAAAAGTACCCAGATGTAGGCTTTTAAGAAAGCTTTATTCAACTGAAAATACAAGGTTCGCATATAGTGTCCTTTTATAATCCCAGTAAACAGAAAATAGCTCACTCAAAAGAGGAGAGAAACAAAAACAAGGGGAGACCACTCTTGATTATTCATAACTCTTAACAAATATTCTGTCCTCACAAAGTGGGATAATTACAACAATGGTAAAAATAAAAACAAAAGTGTTGAGAAACCAAATGATACTAGCTGAGCTGAGCTGTGCATCGAGACATGTTAAACGACAACGATTTAAAAATTTAGTGTCCTTACATACTTTGTGTTTACCCTCTGCGCATTAACTGATGTTTATGTCTATACCCCCCTCCTCCTAATTCTATCAGTGTCTGACGAAGTCCATACAGGAAAAATCTAGTTACATAAATTTTTTTTTCTACTTTGTCTTTTTACATCCAAAAATATATGCACAGAACACATATATGCTCACACATGCAATAATTTGCAATTATTTTTGTGGATAAACTGCACAAAGTTTATAAACTTTGGACAATTTATCCACAAAAATTTAATTCGAGTGTGCAAACACCAACTTGTGCGAAAATAAGAAACAGTACTCTAGTAGTCTAAAACTGGATGAGGTAATTAAAAATCTTTAGCCATAAAATAAACTTGTGTTGTAGTATATCAGGAAAATAAGACAATTTCTTGAATTAATTAATTAATAATCTCTAATATTTCTAATACTGATAGAATAAATTAAAAAAAAAAATTATTATTCTTACGCTTCAGTTTTCGTTTTTCGGCATAAAGTTCATTTTCACTTTTTTGAAGTACTTAATGTAACTTCCGGGAAATCAGATTTCGAATCGTCAACACGTGGGTGAAATGTCTCGATTAATTGTGAAGAATCTACCTAAAAATGTAAGATTTTGAAAAAAATTATAATTTATTTTGAATATATGTTTATTGGTGTTTTGTTTCTCCAGATTCTACGAAAGAATCATAAAAACTTTACTCATGTAGTATACAAATCGATAAGCGAAAATCAAACTCATTTTAAAAACAATCTGCAGTTAGTAGTTTATTCTGAAAATAATTGAATTTGATTTTTCAGAACGTGATTATTTAATTAACACGATATTTTCATTAGATTTTTTTTGTGTGTTTAAAAGTTCTTGTGTTAAAAATTAGAGTTTTAGTCACTTTTCAAGCAGTTGTATTTTTGTACCGATTATAAAAACCCTAATATTGATTGCTTCAAGATTTATTACATATAAAATATAATTGTGGCACAAGGCCTAAAAAAATGATTTTCTAAGCAAAGCTTACATGTGGTACAAGGCCGAAAGTACCGGGTACCTAGTGAGTATCGAACTCACTGGTCGTAATAGATCTCTAACGAGACAAGCTTTCTAAACATAGACCACGTCGAAGTTCTCTATTGATTGCTTCTCTAAATCCTCAATAAAACGTTTTCATTATCATCGTAAATAAATGAAAGTAACCAAATATTTGTTTATGTGCTTCCAAAATATATATTCATTTTTTTTGCGGGGGGGATAAAGTAAGATCGTCTTTCATTTACTTATATTTTTTTACTGTCGCTATGGTTCGAAAATCATAGAATTTTTTTTTTTATTTTATTGTCACTATTTTCGACGTTATTTTTCCTATTTGCTAAAATGATAAGCTGTGTTTTTTTTTTAATTACAAATATTTTCATTTGCGTTTGATGTCAAGAAACCTGACATCCACAATTTTTAGCGATGCTACTGCTGTGGCTAATTCTAAACAAGTTTTGTAAAACACAGAGATCACTTCTAAAAAATAAAATCATACACAACCTTACTTGTTAAAAAAACAAAATACCATTAATTACCAGTATACTGAGTATAGCATACCAAGTCTTCCTAATTGTTTCTGCATCAATAGCCTTAATCAAAAAATGAATTGCAGTTAGGTACCTCCACTGAATTTTCTATACATAAGGTTAAAAAATAAAATGAATTTAAAAAAAATGAAAAAGCATTCTAGATTTCATTTTAGCTTTAATTGAAAAGTTCAATGATTACATTTAAGTAAAAATAAAATATTCTAGTGAATTTCAAATAAAAATCATATAAATTGAAATTTCAAATATTTGCTTGATATCAGAAAATCTTACAAGCGACCATTTTCTCACTTTTTAAGAAATTTGTAAACAAAACAAAGTTATCGGTTTTACTTTTCTCATTAAAATCAAAATTAACATTTTTTTAAAAAAAGAATATCTATTCTATTTTTTTTTTTTTTTGTACAGAATGTTCCAAAAAAAAAGTTGCATTACCATTGATAACCTTGCAAATCTTATATTTATTTACCAAATGGAATCATGTTTCTGTATGTGATAATAACAAATTTTATTGGTCGAATTATCGAAGATGATATAATGTATAAGAAAAAGACTTACCATAACATTGGCATATGTGCAATAGAGGCAAAACTAGAAAGCACGCCTATGTCGCACTGTATTTATACCTATAGACAGCAGACAAGGAAATTCTGATTGACTAATGCAAGTCTCATTGCCATTATAAAAGAAAGGTCTACCTGCTGATTATTAAATTATGCAGAGAGTCAGCCTGTTAACTAATATGTCGGGGTACCTATTAAATTATGTGGAGAGGCGGCCTGTTAACAGGTCAGGGTACCTGGCAGAACGGATCTGCTGTTGCAATACATGAAATCCGTAATGAAGCCAGGGTAACATCACTGATGACTGCTACCGTTGCATTTTATAAATGTATTTTAAGAATATCATGTAAATTTTCCCTGGTTGCTATTTCACAAGAAGTGCATGTTTTTTGGTAATTGTTGTGTAACTTTTGGAACACTGTGATAATGATTAAAAGTATGTATCTTTCATTTTTTTAATGAAAGATACATACATTTTTGGACTTAGCTTACACAATACAATGAATAACTGCTTTTTTGTACAAAGAAAGATTAATGTTGGCACTGACAGATATTTCTGTTTTGCTTCAATGAAAAATATATCAAGCAGCTTTTCACCTTTTAATTTATACTTGTCTAAATTTCTTGAATCTTAACATTTCTTTTAAAAAATGAATCAAATTTCAAACATTGCTTTTTTCATTGTTTCTGATAAATACCTATTTTTAACTTTCCATTTTCTACCCAAATTTTAATAATAACACAATGTTATTTCAGATTACTGAAGAGCGTCTCTGTCAAATTTTCAGTGTAAAGGGTCACATCACAGATTGCAGCTTAAAATATACCAAAGAGGGAGTGTTCCGTAAGTTTGCTTTTATTGGTTACCGAAATGAAGAAGATTGCTCTTCGTCCATCAATTACTTCAACAACACCTATATTGACACCTCAAAAATCCAGGTATGTCTTTATTGATTTTACATCTTTGCACTATAAAATCAACTTTACCAATGTTTTTTTTTTTTTTTTTTTGTTTCAAGCACTCTACTATTTATGTAAATTAATAGCAAAATTTATCCATAAAGGCATTAAAGATACATTATTCAACAGAGCCCCACAAAAATGCATCTAAAAAATATTATTCAATCATTGAATGTTTGATTTTGTTAAGTTGAATACATTTTACATTAATTACTCCTTCATTAAAACTTGTTAATAAGATAGCATATTCAAGCTTTTGAAATAAAACTATTTTATATCTTTGAAATAATGTATTACCCAATTTTTGGTAATTTTCTGTATTACCATTTCTTATGTGTATATGTTCCTCTCCTAGAGAAAATTCTTTATATACACTTTCAAATTTATTGGATTTCTTTCTAAATTTAGTATGAGAATTTATGCATTATAATATTTTAGGACAACTAAGACACAAGTGATTAGTATGTATGAAAGAATATTGAAAAAAGCTAAACAATATAAAGGAGAGAACAATAAATGAATAGAAATTAAGATGACAAAAAGATAGCAATTGACATTGCATTTAAAATTTTGATGATCAAATTTGACTGGAAAGCTAGTGGCTGGAAGAAAGTTCTACAAGCAATAAGTTTGATTAAAAATATTGTTTTTAGGAATATCAATTAGCTTATTAGTTGTTATAATTATAGATAAGAGTGTCCAATCAAAAGTCATATTCATTTAGCAATTTTGTGTTATGGTTGGACAATCCTTCAATAGTAAGGCTGCATTCAGCCTCAAATGCAGTGTATTTTTGCTTTTTCTGGAGAGCAGCCATCTTTTAGTAGCAAAATTTATTATTTAATTATTTTAATTATTATTTAACTAGCAGTAGAGCCCGGCGTTGCCCGGGGATGTAACAGTAAAAGATAGATCAAGTATCGACCATCATAAAGACTGAAAAATAAAATTGACAAAGATTATTGTTTAAGGTTGACGGACACACATATCTTAATTAGTTTTATTTTTTTTTTTTATTTTTTTTACGAATTGGTTAAACCCAAACTCAAACAAAAACATTGTCTTCAATTATTATAAGTCTACCGATTGAATAGAATTTTATTATAAACAATTGTCTTGTAAATGGAATTTTTGAAGCATTCTGACTGTAAAAATAAAGAAAAAAGTGTGCAAGACAATAAGAAACACTACCTGCCAAAAAAAAAAGTGAAGTTTTGTTGAAAAATGTAAGAAATCCGATCCCATATGTAAACGAACACACACACACACACACAACCTGGGTTTTATAATAAGTATAACTCGATATGTGTTGTCCCCCTTTCATTCTCGTGATGCCTCTTAATCGTGTTTTCAAATTGATTTCGTGCAAAAACAATGGTGTTTTTCCAATTTTTGGTGCTGTTAGAACCACCGCAAGGTAATTTTATGTACTCCTGTGAAGTTTTGTTGAAATCAGTTGAAAAATGTAGGAAATACGATCCCATATATAAACGTAAAGACACACACACACAATCTATGTTTTATAATAAGTAAGATTTTTGCTAGGAGAATGAAGACCATCTTGTCTCTTCTACCTAACCCTAAAAAACTTCTAAATACATTACAGAATGAATGGTATGTAATTATAAATTCTAATGTGCTCACTGATTTTCATGAGTTTATCCATCATATGCTGATGGCTAATTTTGAATAGGGAGCTATATGGATTTGAGGCTTAATTTATTACAGTTCTTTTTTCAGAATTATTTAGCAAATATTAATTTTTGATTTATATTGTTTGTGAGGATTTTACATTTTACACAGCAACTTGAAAATATGGATTAACTCTTACAGAATGATTAAATAAGGAACAAATAAGAAAACCTTGGATAAATGATTGATATGGAATATACAAAATATGTAAGATGAAATATGTGAAAATTGAATTTTTTTTTTTTTTTTTGGTTGTAAAATCTTTATCAATATTTATTTTAATTATTCAACATATTTTAATATTTAACTTCACTAGAAATTTTTGGAAGTGAAATAATATGAAGCAATGTATCAATTTTTAAATTCTATGTTTGTTTTTTCATTGATTGTGTAGACATTGCATGCATATCATATGGCACCTATATTTGTGTTTTATTTTTGAAATGTTAATGTAGTTTAAGTGCGTATTAAAGATTAGGTTTATTAGTGTATATTATATGATGAATGCTTAATTCTACATTTAATCATTAGCACATATTTAGATTTTACATTCCTGAAGTATAGGTTTTATGAACATTGGTGATATGAAAAAAAAATATCTTGTGGGTATTTATTATATATGGGTATATGGATTCCATCTTGTATTTTTTTTTTTAGGTAGCATTATTGTTACTTATGGGTGATCTCTGGCTAAGACCTAGCATCCGTTTGCTCCCCTACCAGGGTTACTGTATTGTTGTTGTTTTTTGGGGGTTTTTTTTGGATGTGTATGTTGGTCCCAGTGGAGTAATGGCAGCTTAGATTGAGGAATCAGAGCCAAGTTCAAGATGGATCCTGTTTCATTACATTCACATGCTAATACTCTAGGGAAATTTATGAATCCTCTTCTTCTCCTCCCAAGCTATGGATAAAAAGCATGACAGACCGGGTTCTATAGCCTTGGATGGCAACTGGTATACTGCAGAAAGAAATGGCAACCAACTGCAGGAAAAAATCTGGCTTGTCAGTCATTATCAAAAGATACATAATCACCTAACCATGTATCACGCATGGTGCATAGCTTAACTGATGTTGGTATGTGTGAGTGGCAGCATTGATATGTGTGTGCATGTGTGCAACTCATAAACGTGGAGAGTCAAGGAGGAAAAGGCAATAATTTTTTTTTTCTTTTCCTTCAGCAAATGATTAACATGAAAATGGGATAAGTGTAAGCAGAATGTGATGCTTGAATGTGTTTCTCTCTGTGTGTGTGTGTGTGTGTGTCTCATTGAGGAGAATCAAATCAGTACTTTGTGACGGGTCTACACCTGGCCCAGGGTCGAATCCTTTGGTTACGGCGCCAACTGTGACGTCGCTCCTCCTGGTCGCTCCTCCTGGTTCCAAGCGTGCCGCTCCAACCCCTTGGTTAGATGATCACCAGCCTCGCCTTTCCCAACTCGCTTCAATACCTGGTTACTGAAGCAACTGTACTGATCTCCTGTCTGTCTACCCACTGTGTTTTAGATCTTAGACAGACGGGACCAGCAGGGATTGGGGCGATACAAGCTGAGTCCGGCCGGGGGTGGCAAAACACAAGTAAAAGAAAAAAAACTCACGAGACAAAAATTACTGATAAAAAAAAATGACAACCTTTTATATCTAATGTCCGTTACATAAAGAAAAAATGTTCTTATTTCCCGACCCGCTCTGTGGACTATGGCACCAAGCTTCTATCATACAACTTAAAGATTTCAATTGCCTACTCTTTAGAATTATGTATGTCGGAGTGTGGTCTAGTTCGACACTGGGGCTAATTTCTGTCAATCATTCGCAGTTGATTCTTCTCTTCGACTTGAGTTGTATTTCTTCACTTGATCTGGTTTGGTCGAATTCTGATCTCGGGCTTGGCTTGATTTCAACTTCTTCTTCTTCCGTCCAGCAACTCTTTTCTGTCGACTGAGGTGGAACTGATTTGCTTGTTTGGTCTGCAACTTTACTTCTTGTCTGGCCTGCAACTCTTCGGCCTGTCTTTGACTCGGCTGCAACTTCTCTGCGGCTTTCGAAAATCTTCTTCTTCGTCGACTTAGATGGAACTTCTCTTGTCTTCGACTTGGGCTGGAAGGATTTCTTGTTTTTCGACTTGGGTGGAAGGATTTCTTGTCTTCGACTTGGGTGGAAGGATTTCTTGTCTTCGACTTGGGTGGAAGGATTTCTTGCAACATAACTCAGCCCGCAACTCTCTGTCGTCCGAGGTGATCTCTTCTTCGCTGCCGTCCGGGGCTGAACTGATTTTTGTCGATTGGGGCCCTGCTTTTATTGACGCCAAAGCAGCAAACCGGGGTGGGTCTGTCGGCGTCAGGGCTCTCGATAATTTCAAAAGTCGCATTACTTCTGATTTCCCATTATCACCATTATTTTCACCCCTACTTCCTCACAGTGCCTTTGGTGGGGCGGCGCACCCATCTCTCCCGCATGCCACGTGACCGTTTTTCGACCAATGGTTCTTGATCGAGCATTCTTTCTCCTCTTTTTCGGGCGTGGTTTACATCGTTCTTGTTCTAAAAAACAAAATCTAATTTTGCCTTTTTCGCACGTATCTGAAAAATGATAATCTTGGCTTTTTCTCACCTGGGTTCTGTCAAAACAGCCTGCCGCTAATTAGATGTGACTTCAGGAAAGAATATTGGCGCTATCTGTGAGCCGAGACATTCGTTTTCTTCACCTCTTTGTTTTTTTTTGGTCAGACCTGATAGTCAAAAATCTTAATTATCTACATTGAAAATGTCTCCACTTTATTATCGTGGGTTTCCAATTCTTAACAGGTCAGAATCTGTATACAGTTCCACGGTCACCCCCCTCAACCCAAAAAGACTCTTTTTTCTCCGATTAAAAATTTTGTTTCTATTGTTCTAAAAAAATTTCCCTTTCTCCAAATTGATAATGAGTCTTTCTCTCATAAAAGTAGGCCAGATGCTTTGACCGACATTCTTATCAAACACCAGTACGCTGTCATCAAGCCTGGTCCTTTTCTCTCTCTAAATGACTTTTCATTTCAAATAACAATTCCCTATTTTCTTTTAAAATTCGGCCAACATGTTGGCCAAGATATCTTTCTGACACCTGTTTCCGCTTATGACCGGGTCATGCATCATCCACCTCTCTTTCCTTTTTTTTTTTTCTTCTCTTCCTCTTTTCTTTTTTCCTTCTTCTTCCCTTAGGATCGTCTAAGTACAACTTAGTGAATTATTTTCAACTCAATTATTCTTCGTCTAAGAAAAATTAACAACCTGTTTAATAAACCGAGTAAAAAAAAAAAAAATTAAATCATATTTCTATGAATATTTCTAATAATGCAAGGTGCCACAATTACCACTTCAAGCCAAGCCTGCTGCCATATTCCTGATCAGATAGAAATTGTGGCTCAGTTTGCTTCTCTTCTTTTATGGAAGAGTGCACATTGCTGGTGAACCAAAAGTCATCTGGGATTGAACAATAAATTGCCAAGAAAAGTTGCAAGGTGTGTAGATAGGAAGATTTGAAAAAATTGTAGCTAACAGAAGGTACACAAGTCGATACCTGATCAGTATTGGCTGGGTCACTGTGGAGAGGGTGTATGATGTTGAAAGATACAAAACCCCTAATGAACCATGGCTAGGAACATCATTTGTACCAAAGCATCCACTAGATGTATTTTAGAAAATGGAAATCAAAGTGTGGCCTATTTGATTTCTACGTGATACTACATAATAAAACAAATCATATCACATTGGTCTCTTTTTATTTTATGTCATGTTGATATTAATTTTTCTATTAAGCATTATGTTTTTATTTAAATTTAAATTTTAAATGCATATATAGAAATATTGATAAGAGTGCACATTTCAATTTTAATTTATAATCCTTGCAAAAAAGGAATCAATTTTATCTCGTTCTTTGGCAATTTGAATAAATCTTATCCGTGAATAAAGTTACAAATAGATTGATGCTTGTTGCTTTATAACACCTGTGCAGATGTTGATGTCCTCTAAAATATATATTCTTTTTAATTTCATTTGTTTCATTTTAGGTGAGCCAAGCTTTTAACTTTGGAGATGAAAATAAGCCTCGATCATGGAGCAAATATTCCAAAGACAGTTCTTCATATCAGAATCAATTTATGAACGACAAAATACTGCCAGTGAAAGAGAAAAAGGTAGAGTTATTTATTAAGATAATCTATATAAGAAGATAATTATCAGTCAGACATCAGGATTATACTTTTAACATTTTATGTAAAGTCATTTTTATATGCACCACCAATTATTGCATAATTTATTAAAATATTTTCAAAAACGGCTTAATTTAATTTGAATTAGCTAATATATTTTTTTATTCTAAAAATATTACCAGGATGCTCAATTTTTTGTTGCTTTTATATTTCTTTTTTTATATTGCTTTTTTATTCTAAAAATATTACCAGGATGCTCAATTTTTTGTTGCTTGTAA